GTGGAAAAACACAGCTCAGTCACGTGCTCTCTTACATGTGCTCATTCTCTCTTTGGTTTTCTCCACTGAAGGACATGAAATAATTGCAGGAATATTCTGAGTATGTCAACTCTATACTGCTCTCACTCTACCTCATCGCTCCCTATTCCCCCCCTCCAAAAAAAAACAAAACAAAACAGTATTTCTTCCAGAAATTAATCAAGCAATATCCTGAGGGGTGAGTGGACCCACTACACTAAGATTTGCCCCTATCAATCCCAGGCAACTCAGAAGAGAAAGGCAATTTGTGTTATTTCCACTTATGACTCAGAATAATTCATCATGGGATCCTAGGATCAACAATTAGTTGTTACTTTTCAAGGAAAACTTGGAGATCTCTTTAGAAAAAATGATTCCAGGTGGTCTACGTGGAAAGCCCAAGGCTAGGAAAGGGCCGGAAGATTGTTCTCTGCTTCAAGCCTGCAGAGTGTAGGGTACTTTTAACACAGAGATAGAGAACAATATTGGAGCGGTGGGAGAGCAGTCCTGAGAATGCACCTCACTGATCTCCAGCAAGGACCAGGCTCACTGACCAATGGCCCAGCTTCTGGGCTCTGAAACTGCCTTTTGCATCTGTGCCAAGACTGCAATCCCCATGAGCTGCTCCCAGCCAACATCAGAGTGCAGCAGGGGTACCGAGGCGGGACTCTGATGGCCCTGAGAGGTCATCGAAGAGACGTGCATCTACTTTGCTTACCTCTCTCCCTCGCTGGGTTAGGACATCTCTACGGTCTGACATGTATCCCTCCGCCCTGGCTCCCTTCCTGCCCTTTGCTTCCACAGGTGTTTCTCCTAATACAACTTTTGCGGGTTTAATCCTGTCTTGACATCTGCTCCTCAGATGATCCAGTTTAACACATCTGGATTAATAACTTAAAGTTATGTTTGGCTGAAACTAGCAACTAAATAAGTTCTCAGAAAATGGGTAATCAAACAAGATTTTGTAATATGTAACTTACAGAGTTCCTCCTTTGTTCTATTCGCCCTCTCTCGAGAAAGATACTAATAAAAGAAAAATTAAGCTCTTAAAAATATGCATGGGGCCAACAGATGGCATAGCGGTTACGTCTCCAGACTCCCACATGGCTCACTGTGGTTCGAGTCCCAGACCCGGTGGCTGGAAACTCACTCCAGGATGTATGCGTACATGCCCAAGATCCCAGGAAAAAGAATGGAGGAGATGGGATTGTGGCGTGGCCATCCCCCTCGGGTGTGGAGGGGTGATTTCTCACTTTCCCTCTCACTGTGTTTGTCTCTGTCTTTCATAAGCATATGCACCCTTAAGATGGTATGAAGATTAAGACAACTGGATCCTATATGGCTGGCTGAGCGGTTTAAGTCCCCCACCTGGTCACTTGACACTACAGGTACGCATGTGTGCGTGCCCCAAAATCCCAAGAGGAGAATGGAGCAGGAGGGACTGTAGTGGGACCATCCCCCAGGGGCTGATTTTATCTCCTCATGCCATCTTTCTCAGGTGAGTGCACTTGCCCTACAGCAAAAAAAAAAAAAAAAAAAAAGTATCAAATGAATATTAATTAATACTAAAAGATTCTCCTTTAATTTTAAATTCATCAAGTTCTAATGAGAAAGGAGCAATTTTGAGTGTACTCAGGGGTGGGTCTGGATAAGAGCCAGGAACGCTCCGATGTGGGTCAGCCTCACAGAGCGCCGTGCTTTCCACTGCATCACTGCCTGGCCGCGACACGGAGGTGATTTCAAACTGCTGGGGAACTCTGTTATCCCATCTCTGAGAACTGGCCAAAACACAGTGTCTGGATTTAGGAGAATAAGTTGCAATGATCATGCGGCTATGCGCATATCTACAGGTACGTATACAGGCACACGCATGCACACATATGCACACAGATTATATAAGTATTAATACATATTTATATACATTAATACATATAAACATAGAGATTTTCTTATATCAATAAATTTCACTATTTTGTAGGTTTATTCAAACCTCATTATTTATACACTGCCAACAGATAAATCAGATTTCTCCTTAATAAAATGAAAACTGTATCTTTCTAGGACACCAGATAAAGGGGTTTCTTTAAAATAAAACATTGAGGGACCAGTGGTTGACATAATGGTTTTGTCGCTGGACTCTCACGTAGTCAACCACAGTTCAAGTCCTAGAACCAGCCAGCTTAAAACACACTAGGGGGCTGGGAGGTGATGTAATGGTTATGTTGCTAGACTCCCACGTAGTCGACCACAGTTTGAGTCCCAGACCTGGCACCTTAAAACTTACACGGGGGGGCTGGCAGGTGGCATGGTGGTGCGGGCAATGGACTCCCACACGGCTGACTATGGTTCAAGTGGCAGACCTGGCAGCTTCTTTTCTTATTTTCCCTTTTTCTCTGTGTCTCTTTCTGGCCAAAATAATAATAATAATAATAATAACACAACTCACGCCAGGTACATGTGTGTGTGTGTGTGTCCAAAAGCTCAAGAGGAGAATAGAAGAGAAATGACTGTGGTGTGGCCATCTCCCCTTGGGGGTGATTTCTCATTTTCTGTGTCTCTGTTGCTCTGGCAAGCACAGGCACCCTATAGCAAAAAATCTCTCTTAAAAACAACAAAACAGGGGCCAGCAGACGGCATGGTGGTTAAGAGCACTGGACTCCCACATGGCTGACTGTGGTTCTAGTCCTGGATCTGGCGGCTTGCTTTCTCACTTTCTCTTTCTCTCTCTCACGCTGTCTTTCTCTGGTCAAATTTAAGTAAGTAAGTAAATAAATAAATAAAGTTAAATCAAAATAATTTTTTACCGAAAAAACCCACAAAACATAAACCTGAAACATTGATCTACTTAGATGATGGTAGAAAGCTGACATTTTCTAAGTAAACTGATTATAGTAAAAGGAACTAGAAGAGAGTTTGAGAGTTAAATTATTATAATCCACAATTTATGATCATATCATCATTTTTAAAAATAAATTTATTCCCCCAACTTCCTATTTGTGATGATAAAATTCTTACTACTGCAATGAAAACAAGTGTATTAGTGTAAATCCCAAATTATGAAGCTTTAAGGGGTATTTCCCATAATAGATTAATACATCTAAATTATACCTTGTCATTTGGGAATTTTTGCTGTAAGTTAATGGATTTAAAACTTAATTAATTTCTTCCCACTGCTTAAGAACTTTACATTAACATAGGCTTGACTCATGTACTTTTAAAGTACATTCACTGAATTTGAGAAGGTGGAACAATATGCTATATTATCAGAGTCAGAAAAGGCAGAAAATATTTTCCTTCCTTTTGTTCCTCCCATTTTTATTATTTTTCCCCAGAAACTAGTGTAAGTGGTGTGAAACTAAAGAAGAAAGGTATACTTAAACAATCAATAGTCATTTTAAATGATTAATTCCAAGTCTTTTAACATATACAATGGTCTAATGAAAATTCTATGTATAGTAAGTCCTGCAGAATTACAAGTTGGTACTAAGCTATTTGACACCAGGAAGTCTTGTTTTTGCCCTAAAGGCAAAAAAAAAAAAAAGTAAGAAAAAAAAAGTATCACTGTTCACATTTCAAATTGTTAACATGTCATTTTTCCTATGAGTCACCCAAATAACAGATAGAAATTGACATGCCTATCAAGTTCAGGATGCAATGAAACATTTCACAATGAATTAGAAATAAAAGGAAATAATCTTAAATAATTTAACATGTATTTTATATGAAGTAATTAGAAGAGTAAATCGTTTAGTGTTTAAACTGAAGTAATGAATATGAACATTGTTCATCAAAGGTTAAAGAAAACAAATAAGTCTGTAATTTTGGAAAGTTTGACAGGATAGAAAGTCTAGCAGGAGAAAAAAAATGTAATTTTCTGGAGAAGACAATTTTGATTTAACATAGAAATAAAATTCTAATTACAAAAAGGGAACAGGTGGGAAATAAGTATTTATCCCTTTTTCAAAGATAATGTTTTCCTTGTTAGCTGTCAGAAACTACTTGAACAAATGCAGGACTTCTCAAAGAATTGCTTGGAAAGTTTCATTGGAAATGATTTTTGGCAACAAAATGTGGCACAGATACATTTAAAAAAAAAAAAGCAACCTTTTATGCTTTTATACCATTTCCTATCTTTCCTTCATCTCAAAAATATTTGAATCTCCTAAACATAATCAAGTATTGTTCTCATGCTAAGGCTGCCTCGAACCAAATGAGTAACATCCTTGCCAATGTGACACTTACTTCCTGGGTGAGACGAATGATAAGCAGGAAGATAAGTGAAAGGGCCAATGTGTATTTCCAACTACTGTCCCATTGGCATCCTGCCACACTATTGTCCTTTCTTCAGTGCTCAGTGTTGCCAGAGGTGTTTCAAATGAAATTATAATGTGATAAAGGCTTTTTCCTATTTCAAGTTTTAAGAACTGTCTTAAAAATGATTATCATGATACGAACCATGGTCATCAAACTTTTTTTTTTTTAACATATTTCAGGCTTTGCAGGCAACCTAGGTCTGTGTCACATTTACTTCTTTTTTTTTTTTTAACTCTTTAGAAATGTAAAACCATTATTATCTCACAGGCCACACACCAAAAAAGGCTGAATTTGGCCTACATTGGGGCTGAATTTGGCCTGCAGCTATGGTTTGCCACTCCTGACTAAAAGCACATTTGCTTTTAAGTGCCTATGTTCAGTCCTACATATTGTGTTTCTTTTTTTTTTTTTTTTTAGCATTGATTCCTTTGCTCTTTATTACTCATTTGTCAAAATCAAATAAAGTATTCTTTTTAGAGCAACAGTAATTCCAATGACGGCAGGCTCAAAATCAGTTCTTAGGAGCAGGACCCCCAGCTCTATTTTCACACAAGAAACAGGAAACAATTCTTAGCAGAAAACCCTCGTTAAGCGACGTGGCGGACCTGCACGCGTCCCACCAGTTCCTGGAGCAGGAGCAGACATGTATAAGATCTGCAGAACCTTACCTTGCTGGAGGAACGTCAATATTGGAAGAAACCACTTTTCGTTTTTGCTCAAGGAGACAGATGGAGCGAGTGTTTTCTTTTTCATGGTCAGGGACCCGGCTGGCTTTTTTGGTGTCTGTGGCTTTCACATCTTCCTCCATGGCCAAGGGGAACAAGTGTTGATGAGATAGTTTCTTACTAGAGTCACGTTTTAAATCCTCTGATTGAAAAGTGAAGGTCATTTCCCGTTTGGTGCTCCCCACCTGTGAAACCAAACACAGGAATTCTTAACTCACACAAAACGTGAGTTTTGTACAACTATCGCAGATGGCTATGAGGAGAGACTATAGATCCTGTCCTTCCAATTCATCTTGCAGATTGTATTGTTTAAATGGGAAAAATGCAAAACAGGAATTTAAAAACCAACATTTAAAAATAATATACAATTTATGCATCTATCATTATCCAAACAAAAAGCATCACAGGCCTAGCCTCTGTGGTGCAGCTCACAGCTTGCTGGACTGCAGTTCTGGAAGCCACATGCCAGTCACGAGGTCAGATCACTGGGCTGGTCTGAAAACACAGCTGGGTGCACACATGAGTGCCCAAGACCCTGAGGAGCAAGAGGGCTGGAAAAGGCAAGGTGTGCCGTGACAAGCTACTATCAAGGGTGCTTTCTTTTTCTTGTTCTCATGCATGCATGCTATCAAAAAGAAAAAGAAAAAGAAGCATCACAAACACAAATATTGCCTTTCAGACAAGTACACGTTTTTCATACGTAAAACATTAGACTTTCATCCAATTTTTTTTTTCAGGGATTTTTTTTGCTATGGGGCATGTGTACTCACCAGAAAGACACAGAAACAGAAAGCAAGAAATCATCACGCTAGGGAGTATGGCCACACCATAATCCCTTCTCCATTCTCCTCTCAGGATTTTGGGCACTCATGCACGCATGCCCTGAGTGAGTTTCAAGCCTTTAGGTCTGGGACTCAAACCATGGTCAGCCACGTGGGAGTCCAGTGACATAATCATGACATCATCTGCTGTCCCCCCTTTTTAAATTTAAAACATTACTTTATCTTCCACAACTAGTACAACTCAATTAAGTAAACAATTATTTCAGATTGGTTACCATGTTTAATAGAAAAGAAATAATCAATAAAACCAAGGTTTATCTTTACTATTAATAATGATCTTAACCATACTCTGTAGTACATGACAAATTGTCTTTTATCCTTTATCTGCTCAGCAGTTAAGATCTTAATAAAATTCCTTCCAAATCCAAATGAGAAAGGAATCAGATTAATTTCTCTTATCATTTTTAACTAAATGCAATGATGAGTACAGTGTAAGACAAAATAATAAAATTAAACCTCAGTGACTTGAGTCCTATTGTTTCAGAATTTGTAATAATTGAAAAAAGAAGAACGAAGTATAAAAAACGCTCTTGTAAAGTAATTGGTAGTAGATTTGTAAGTGACGTTTGGAGCAAACTGGTTAAAATCCTAAATATACAAAGAAGAATCAGACTACCTGGTAATCTGGAACCTCACTAATCAGTGAGGGGTATTTCAAAATATGCGCATATGTGAGACATTTCACAGGCTCTTAGACAATCCATCCCTCTTTGTGGAGTCAGTCTGTGGCACTAATAAATCTTCATGTAAAGAAGATATGCTTGTTTCTTTTTAATTTTAGGTAGGAGATAAAGCACAAAGACTTTGATAAAATGGATTTAGATTTATAGACTCTCAAGTTGCAAGCATAAGGTGTTTTCAGAATAAAATGAGCATGTGTGTGATTGTTTGAAAATAGCAGAGACTGCCAAAGTATGTTATTAATGACTAGAGATTCTCAGACTGAGGAAATTCAGCTACATGTGGGCTGTAGTTACAGGACCCACCCACATCTGAGCTTTCCAGAGCTCAGGGATGACTTGCTTCTCAGGATCCACTTGGCTGGCATGTATCTCTCTCTCTCTCTCTCTCTCTCTCTTTTCTTTTATAACGAAAAAATTTATGATAGAACAAGTGCAAGAAAAAGAGAGAAATGAACATACGCTGCAGAGCCTGGTCACACTGCTGTCACCTTCCCCTAGTCTTCCAGCTCACCAAGTCCAGGGTGCTCAAGCACAAGTCCAGTGCGTTTCAGGCTGACTGGGCCAGAGATTCGAACCACAGTTGCCATATGGGATCCAGCTTCTCCTGAACAACATATTACCACTGCACCATACAGCCAGCCCAGGCATGTATCTTTCACGTGAACAAATTCAGCTCCAAATGAAGCTCCATCCCCTTTTAACCTGTCATGCCAGTGGAAAAAAGATAAACTTCTCATGGTTTTCCTACCAGCTCAGTACCCACTTCTACAGAAAAATAGTCACTCACTTTTGGTTTTCTTGTAACTTGCTAAAAAGTCATCACAATTCTTGGGATGCATTAATGAAATAAAATAAGGGCCCAAGAAAAATGAGTGTCTACTTTTAACTGTTAACGGTCTTAATGAAATCAATATACAATAGAAAGGGATAAGAAAATAGGTCAAACTTCCAAAAAATGCAGTGAATGTTCAAAAATGTAGTTTAGAAAATCAACAAATGTAATTACAAATATTTGAACTATCCATAACTAATCAATATTCAGTGCAACTCATTCTGCCTGAAAGTCGGGCTGAGACAAAGGGAAGGAAGTTCTTCACATCTATACCAGCCTATTCCCACCCTATGTGACAAGAGAAATAGTCTAACCACCAGGTATAAAAAAATAAAACAAGGTCTGATTTTGACGACTATAAATAGCTTCCACCTTTTAGTCTATTTTATTTTTTAAATTACTATTATTATTATTTATTATTATGTATGCTCAAAGGTGCATGTGCATACACAAGAGAGAGAAAATGAGAGAGAGAGAGAGAGAGAGAGAGAGAGAGAGAGAAGACACCCTCTCAATGGGGCCTAATCACATCACAATCCTTTTTCCTCCAATCTTCTATCTCATCAGGATCCTGGGCAGGTCCACATACACAGCAAGACAGCAAGTTTTATAAGCCCACTGGGTCAGGACTCTAATCCGGGTCAACCACGTGGGATCCAGGTCCCTCTGTACAACACTCAACTGCTGCATTATGGGGCTGACCCATAAACAGCTTCTTCTTAGATGTTAAGTATTACATGAATTAAATATTTAAGTAGTCATTAGTATTAAGTTGAAACATAACTAACATCCATCTCTCCCTAGAAATAAACTGTACTGATTATATGAATTCCATCCAAAATTTAAAGGAGCACAACATTACAGGCAGTCTAGCTTTTAGTTCCAAAAACACAGGGAAAAAAATTGAAACAAATAATACAAATAGAATAAAATTCCTGTAGAAACTATAGTATAATTGTATGTCATGTGCTTAGTCAAGGCTTCAGATAAAACAAATTACGATATTTAACAATGCTATAAATCTTCTATAATAATTTCTAAACAAAAAATTAACTTCTCAATAGTAATCAGAGAATTTTAGCAATGTAATGAATTTCGAAGACAATGTAGCCCACACTCCTTGTTTAAAGTTGAATTAAAATGTCTAGAAATAACCAGAGGACCAAAAATAACTGTAGAGATGAGTAAGAGAGTTTAGATCTTTGAGTCATGGGTCCCACTGTTTGTAATGCTGGTGGAAGGGGTGGGTGGCAAGTGAAGCTATTCATTATATTACCATAGTTTAATGCCCACATGTATGTATTTCATGTTCTTTTTAAAATGCTCTTTTTATTCATATCAAATATTACATTACAAAGACAGAAAAAGAAAAAAAAAACAGAGTTCGTAGGAAAGAAGAGGCTGGAGAGAATATGTGAAGCCAAATCTTGAGAAGCTGAACTTGAAAGTGGACTAGAAAGAGAGGGGTGGTGGCTTGAGGTGACACTGGACAGGGGATAGCATTTAAGACGGACGTGAGAAGGCAGGATGAGAGGAAAAGGTGAAGGAAGTGGTGTAGTAGCCCTGGAGCAGGGCAGGCCTGACATCCAGCTACTGCAAATGAGCACAGATTTAGACCTCTGTTCAATTAGCAAAAGAATAACACAAAAGGGAGATACAATCCCATTTATATGAGATTTCCAGAAAAGGCTCACCTAGAGAGAAAGCAGACCAGTGATTGCCTAGGCCGGGAGTGGGAGCAACTGATTGCAAATTCAGGGTGATGGAAACGTCCTAGAACTAGACTGTAGTGATACTTGTACAGCTTTGATGTTTGTTAACAACCATTGAACTGAATTCTTACAATGGGACAAATTTATGGTATGTAAACTTCTTTTTTTAGAAAAGAATTATTCGCTTAATTTTATTTATTATTATTTTTCAATATGACCAGAGAAAGAGAGGAAGAAAGCAAGCCACCAAGTCTGAGACTTGAACTGCAGTCAACCATGTGTGAGTCCAGCACCTTAACCACTATGCTTAACTACCTGCTTGCCCCTAAAAGTTTTATTTTAATAGAGATGCTTAAAAAAATACAAGGAAGAAAGAACCAAACCATCAGTAACTGGTAATGGAGAGCATATTTGGTGAATCCCTAGACCAGAAATCTGGAAACAGAGATGCAGCCACAACGGCTGTGCATCTATTTAAAAAATTTGGGGTGGGGCGTGGTGGTGCCAGGTCTATGGCAAATTTTTTTTTTTTTTTGGAGAGATTTTTCACTATAGGGCGCGTGTGCTCGCCAGACAGACAGAGAGAGACATAGAGACAGAAAGCGAGAAATTACCCCCCAGGGGTACACGGGCACGCACACGGGCCCGGCGTGAGTTTTAAGCCACCGGGTCCGGGATGCGAACCGCGGTCGACTACGTGGGACTCCAGCGACATAGCCATTACGCTAACTGCTGGTTCCCTATGGCAAAATTTTTTAAAACACAGGTGGTATGCCAACGCAAGCTGCCACAAGCAGCTATTTGGTTGTATCTTGGACACAGGTAAGATGGGCCTTAAATCCAGTTCTCATTGGAGCCAGGTTCCAGGCTTCCTCTCCCACAGAAGGACAATTCTGTAATTCACCACCCTGATGGTAACTTTCTGTAGTACTTCATCTGTCCCAAGAGGGCACTGATTTTTTTTCCTCCAATTTAGACAACGTCCTGGTCACAAAGCTGTTCCTGGATCTGCAAGGTCTAGGTTAAGTTATTGGGTTGTTGAAAAACTCAGGATGAATTTTTCTATGCAAAAATACATCATGACTTTTCCAATAACCCAATAGATTCCTCCTTTGAAGCTGGTTTGAATTATGTGAGTCATCCATATGAGCT